TTTCATCCTGGATTGATCGATGTTCGACAATTTATGATACTACTGAAATTCCATATGAATTTAAACTTTTACTTAGATGCAGTAAGGATGGGTTCACTACTGAAACATTTCATAGACTTTATGATAATATACCTGGTACTGTAGTTGTTTTAAAGGTCACTGGTACAGATGAAATACTTGGCGGCTACAATCCTCTTATTTGGAAAGTTGGCAATGGGAAGTATGCATCAACAGCTGATAGCTTTATTTTTTCTTTAAAAAATGGAAACATAAATCAATCGATTCTTAGTCGTGTCAGTGATACATCCAAGGCAATTTATAATGGTAGCATATATAAAGGACCATGGTTTAGCGGCTATGACCTTGGAATAAATGATTTTAACAAAGTGTATTGTTCTAAAAGAGAATATGTTAGACCAATAAGAAGCGAGCTGGGATGTTTTTCTATAGATGAATATGAAGTATTTCAAATTTGCAAAATTTAACAAATTCGAATTAACAAATTGTAGTTTATTGTTTAATAAATTTGCACCATACATTTTTTATTATTCATCAGTTTATACACATATATATATTCGCCCGAAGTGCGATTAATCAGATCGTATAATTAGGGTTGTGTGATGGAGTTAATGAGTTCAATAGATTATTATCAATTGAGTTCGTTTAGAGCTTTATTGTACTAACAGTAGGGTCAAGATCAGGATTGAATGAAGCAAAATTCTATACGAAAATTTTAGAATATAAAGGCAATTTCATTTAAGACAATTGAATTCTCGCTTTTGACATTACACGAGACCTTATAATCTACTGTATTAGGCAGATCATACTTCGGCATAAAAAGTTTCTAAACATCTTAGATCAGTCAAGCTATTTTTTAAGTACGTTCTCAAGCACCTATCTCAATGGACTCAACAAAGAATTTGATTCGTCTGTCTGATCAAACCGACCAATCAGATTCTTTGTTGAGCCAGTTGTTTTGACTATGTTTTTAAGCCCACAGTACATTGTGTAAAAGACCTATACAATTTAAATGACAGGTAGAGACATACAATTTCCAGAGATAAAGACAAAAATCTCTTAAAAAAATCATTCTTTATATTCGTCAAAAACTAATTCTTAGCTCTCTAGAAACTGTGTGCCTCAAAATAATGTCGCAATATTTTTGCTCATTTCGCTATAAACTTAGGAATTTTTATGTAACCGACAAAAACTATCGACAAGATACTTTAATCAAGGCATATAATTTGGTAAGACTTAGCAAGATTATAAAAACTAGTTTAAATGAACATGGAGTACTAATTAAAGATGACGCAAATGAAGTGTTACACAATGATAGTTGTAGTTTTCTTAGAATCACTAAAGCTAATCCTAAAGTTCTTTTAGGATTTGTATTACTAGCCAGTAAGTCCCATTTACGTAGTTCTTTGTCATACACTATACATACGTGTACTACAGTTCATTAAATGAAAAGCCTGTCAACGAAGTGACAGGGCGATCATTATTGCGAGAGATGACTTTATCATATCGTATGCTCAATTTGTCTTTTTGGTTTTTACGAGTTTTTGTGTAATAGTCCTTATTGTATCTTGTTTGATGCAGTTATTTTCTGATTAATATTGTGATAACATATGATTGTTGAAAATATGAGTTACTATGATAGGCAAGTTTGTTTTCAAGGTTATTT